CTTTTACATGCAAAGGGTGTGTTCTTGCCATTACCCAAACCTTTACACTCCATAGGCATAAGAGGGCCCCTTTGTCTTTTATAGCCTGCCTTATTTTCTACCTACTCAAGTTTGCTGGGAGTTTTGCATCAACTTCATTGGAATTTCTCATGTGGATCGTATTTGTCTAAGTACCTCAGCCCCTTTGAATCATGTTTGCTTTGACTTTGATTAAATGCAGTCTAAAGCAGTGTTTCCCAACCTTTTTTGGGCAAAGGCACACTTGTTTCATGAAAAAAATCTCGAGGCACACCACCATTACAGCCCCGTGACGTCAGCGCGCAGCGTCACGCCGGGAGGGATGCACGAAAGTGTAAGTTTCAATTTTTTCCCCTCCCCCTTGCCTTCCTTCTGTGCCAACCGCCAAAAAGCCAAGAAAAAAGCCAAGACTTTAGGGCAGCAGGTGCGACGGCCGTGTCCTCTTCTGCCACACTTGGCAGCCCTGCCTCACGGTCGTGACTCCCATCGCCGCCCCCTCATGCGAGTGGACCTGCCCGGAGTGGTGGGCCGGGGGAGGCTCGCTCTCTGTGGGGATGTGGCCCGCACGCGCGGCCCCGCTTCCTCCTGCCCAGGGCTGAGCTCCTTACCCGCGATCTCAGTCTCGCGCACGCGGGTCCCACTTATTCTGAAGCTCGCACCACTAGCCGGGGCTCTCACACCGTGCCAGGGCGAGGCAGCGCGGCCCACTGACGTCATCGCGGCTCGCCGCCGCCCTCGACTTCCCTGTTCCCTCCCCTTCCTCGGGTCGCCGTGGTTACCGAGGACTGCAAGCTGCTCGGGCGAGCGTGGGGCATTAAGTGGGAGAAGGAAAATTAAAATTAAAACTCGCCTGAAGGCCGCCTCTCCGGATACAGTGGTGCCTCGCAAGACGAAATTAATTCGTTCCGCAAGTCTCTTCGTCTTGCGAGTTTTTCGTCTTGCGATGCACGGTTTCCCATAGGAATGCATTGAAAATCAATTAATGCGTTCCTAGGGAAACCGCCTTCAGACCAGGTCCGGGGACAGTCTGTCCCCCGACCTCTTCTGAAGGCTGGGGGGGGGACAAGGGCTTTTCTTCCCACCCCCAGCATTTTTTAAAACCCCGGGACAGCGGAGTACTTCTCCGCTGTCCGGGGCAATCTTAAAATGCTGGCGGGCGGCATTTTAAAATCGCCCGGGACAGCGGAGGACTTCTCCGCTGTCCGGGGCGATTTAAAAGCCCCTGGGAAGGCAGGCAGGGGGGACAAATATTTTCGCCCCCCGCCCGCCTTCAGAAGAGGTCCTGGACCTCTTCTGAAGATGGGCGGGGGCGAAAGTCTTTGCTCCCCCCTGCCTGCCTTCCCGGGAGAGCGGAGAAAGGCAGCGCATTTCTCCGCTGTCCCGGATGGCTTTTGAAGGTCCTTGACCTCTTCTGAAGGCGGGCGGGGGCGAAAGTCTTTGCTCCCCCCTGCCTGCCTTCCCGGGAGAGCGGAGAAAGGCAGCGCGTTTCTCCGCTGTCCCGGACGGCTTTTGAAGGCAGGCTTTTGAAAGCCGTCCGGGACAGCGGAGAAACGCAGCGCGCCATTCCCATTGTCCCCCGACTTGGCTGGAAGGCTGGCGGGGGGAGAAGCCTGCCCCTCCCCGTCGCCAGCCCCGCAAACTCGGGGGACAGCGGGAGAGGCGCCCTTGCCGCTGTCCCCCGACTTGGCTAGAAGGCTGGCGGGGGAGAAGCCTGCTCCTCCCCATCGCCAGCCCTGCAAACTCGGGGGACAGCGGGAGAGGCGCAGCGCCCATCCCGCTGTCTCCCGACATGGTTTGGAGGCTGGCGGAGGGCTTCCTCCTCCCCCAGCCCCGCAAGCTCCCAGAGCGATGCCAAAGCTGCGCGCAGCTTCAGCATGGCTCTGGGTCCCGTTCTGGGGGAGGGGGAAGCTCGGGCTTCCCCCGCCCCAGCCCCACGCCTGGCGGTGGGGGAATAATTTTTTTTCCCTTTATTCCCCCCCCCCCCGCCAATTTTTCCCGCAGCACACCAGGCAACGTCTGGCGGCACACTAGTGTGCCGCGGAACACCGGTTGGGAAACACTGGTCTAAAGGATATCTACAAGACTAACCTTTCACTTCAAAATGCTCAATTAGTTTGATTCCAAACAAGCAGTTCATATTAATTAAGCGAGGAAGGCTGGCTTCTGCTAAACTGGAAAGTCACTGAGATTTTTAGGGTGGTCAAAAGGGGGGCATTCAGTACAAAACTTGCATGGGGGTGGGGGTGGGGTGTTTTGTGTTGAGTATGTGCCACAGAAGTTCAGTCAAGCATTTAGGCTCACCACAGGAAACAACAGTATGGCAGATACAGCTTTTACACAGCAAACACGAACACACACACTATATAAAATCACTATTTACAGTTGCTGCAAGAAGTCTTCACTCTCTGAGTCTAGCTTGGGCTCTAGCTTATAAGGTTCTTGCTGGGACAAAGTCCAATATCCCTCAGACAAGCCCTTCACAAAGTCCCCCACATTTTCACAGGATCTTTCCAAAAGTCTCCACATCTCCAACAGATTCTCAGTGAATCAGGTGAGTTAGGGACTTGCCTGTGCCCTGCATGTGAAGACAGGCTCTGGCAGATTGAGCAGATGAGACCAGTCATAGGTCCAAAGGCCAAGAAAGCAGTTTCTGTGCATACGGAAGAGGGAAGTGAGGGAAGGATGGGGGTCTCCAACCTGGGAAGGGCAGAGGCGTGTGGTGGGTGCGGTCCACCCGGGTGTCATGACTGAGGGGGGGTGACAAAATGGCAGGCAAGTGGGTGGCACACCTCGGTCCCAGTGTTCAGGGATGATGAGAATTGTAGTCCCCAAACAGCTGGAGGGCCAAGTTTGGCCATGCCTGTTTTAAAAAGTTGTGGGTGGGGTAAGCAGATCTGGGGCTCTTCACTAAAGGCGGGGGGGGCTTTGTTCCTGCTGCAACTTCCCTGGGGATCATCTGGCTTCCTGCAAATGCCCCCCCCCTCTAAAAAATAGAAACATTGCTGTTTCTTTTTTATAGCCACAAAGGTGAATCACACTCATATTCAACCAAAGTTCACTGGGCTAGGAGCCTTCTGTGACAAATCCCTCACCAGTACCATCCTTTTTCATTGCCAGGGCTGACATATTAAATATGTAAGTGGAAGATTGTAGGTCAGGCGCCAACTAACGCACACTCAGAATGGACCAACTGAACTGAGCAGACCTAAATACGTCATCACAGTTCTTTTCAATGAGTCTGCTCTGAGTATGGCTAACACTGAATGTCACCTGTTGGCTTTTCTAGCAAGATGTGTAGCAACGAGAAATGGGAGTCACTGGGGGCATGAAGAGCAGGCATCAATATTTAAAGAGTGATACCGCTGTACCATCCTGATTTAAGCAAAACATCCTGGAATTATGGAAGCCATACCTGGCTTCTGCTTGGATCCCAGAATATCCCATTCTTTGGTCTGGCACTCTGACATGAGTCAGCTGGCTTGGACCAGAGCACCAGACCAAAAATCCCATTTGGATCACCCATATGTTGGAGGGTATGCTATATGCATGAACAAAGTCCCAGGGTCAAGCCCTAGCATCTCTACATAGTGCTGGCAATGACTCCTCCTCAACCCCTTGAAAGCCACTGCCGGACACTGCAATACTGAGCTAGCCTGACTCAGTAGAAGCCAAGTTCCTCTGTTCCTAGTGTGCCAGGCTCCTTCCCACTTTCCCATCCTTGCATGGAGTCAAACGCTGGGCTAGCCCACTCCAACACAGGACTATAGAGTCAGACTTGAAGGACCCTTGGTGCAGGGAATCCTGAACAAGTGGACCTTCAAGAGATGGCTGTCTGCTTGGAGACCTGCAGTGTGGGAGAACCCACCCTACTTCATACGAACTCTCTGCCTTCTAGAAATGAAATTTTGTGAGCTAGCTCAGTTGGCAGAACATATGATTCTCAATCTCATGGGTTCAAGCCCCATGTTGGGCAAAAAAGATTCCTGCAGTACAGAGGACTGGTCTAGATGACCCTCATGGTCCCTTCCAACTCTGCAATTCTATGTACATTTCATCCTTCCTTTTATTCCCCAACACCAAAACCACTTTCTAAAAAAAGTTACAGAACTTCTCCAGGGATTGAGGGGAGAAGTGTCCTGATAGCTTCACATGTGCTGGCCAACCATCACCACCCACAGCTAAGTTTTGTGGCACTATTACATTTGGATGTTTATGGGAGTTCTGCCCTGGAGAAGGAAGGTGACTTATATGAACGTTGCAAGGTTGCTTCCCAAGCTGTTCCCGTGCCAGACTCCTTCGGGATGCATGGCCTGTGGCAAAAGGGAGAGGTTGAACGCACACCATACGTTTACAGTACTTCTAAAAGCACACTCACCAAGAATCCTGTAATTTGTTAAGGGTGCTAGGAATTGTATATCTGTGAGGGCAGGTGTGGTCTTTGGTAATCTTTTGTAGTACTGTATGGTGCACTGTGTGAGATCAAAATTTAGCACCCCCAAATGGATCTTCTCAATTTTGCACCCTCTTGGTTCAGTGTCCTGTATGGCAGAGCTGCCTGCACCACCCTAAATCCAGTGCTATGAGGGGTTAATTACAATTCCCTGGATTCTTTTTTGGAAGGTGGGGGTTGCTTTAAATATATGGTGTGTTCACAGCCAAAGGAAGCAGATTTGATTGATGTTGTCACTGTTACTCTGGAGATCTAACTGGGAGAAGGTTCATGATAATATAATGATCATCAGCTTTAACCCAGAAAGAAAACCTCCAAGGCTTAGCTTGCCTCTGAGTCACCTCAGGAGGGAGCGGCCTGTTCCATACTGCCTTGCTTCAGTCAACAGACTCAATTGCTCCTGTGTTGCCTACCTAGCCAGAACTCCAAAGGGAGCACTGAGGCTGCCAGCATGTTTGCAAGGTTGTTTGGACACAGGCCTCTAGCCACACTGTGGAAAACAGGTGCTTTCTGTAGGAGCCATGGCACCGGAATGACACTGGCGAGGACAACCCCTTTGCCTGAAACGGAGGGCTCAGTGAAGAGTAGGCTGGCATCTCCTAGAACTTTTTCAGGTCGGTAAGAGCAGTTCTAAAGCTGTGTAGAATTTGTGTGTGTGTGAAAAGTAATGGAACAAGTGGAATATACACGGGGGAGGGCACAGCAGGCAACCGTTCTTGTAAAGGGATAGTCTGTCCACCATAAGCCACACAATGTTAACCTCAAGTCTCAATTACTGCAGTGTGTGTGTGTGTGTGTGCATGCATCCAACCATCCTTCCCTTGTCCAGAAACTCCAGCTAGTACAATATGCTGCAGCTAGGCCATTGATGGGAACAGACAATCGATATCACACAATTCCAGTGCTCAAAAGCTTGTGCTGGCTGTTCCTATGCTTCCAGACCAGGTTCAGGGTTCTTGCATTAACTTTATCAGGCCCATAGCAACTTGGGTCCAAGGGACCACCTAATCCTGTCTATTCCCTGCCAAATCACTGGGATCCTTGGGGGAGTCACTGTGAATGGTCCCCCATGGCTTAGAGCACAGCTTTTATCAATCAGAAGCCCTGTGTTCAGTATTACGTGCCCAAATTAGTACAAGTCCCTCCCAGTTAAGTCCAGGCAGGCTCTCTACCAGTTGAACAACCAGCATATACTGAAGATTTTATTTTATTTTGTCATTCCAGCTAGCATTTGTTTAACTGATGTTTGATTTTATAGTTTTAACTGGCTTTTATTTATTTTTGGTATTGTACCTTTCCAAACTGCTTGGAGACTATCATACCCTCTGATATTTCTCTGAAGAAAATAGGGACTCCCCATTCCATAATGATAGTTTTACTGTTTATACCCCACACATATGACTGGGTTGCCCAAGCCACTCTGGGCAACTTCCAACATAAATAAAAACATAATACAACATTTAAAAACATTCCCTATACAAGATTGCCTTCAGAAGGCTTGGGGGTCGGATAACTCTGTACCCTCCAATATTTATCTAGTGAAAACAGGGACATCCTAAGAAAAAGTGGGAGATTCTGGGATCTAATCAGAAACTGGGATGGCGTCTCTAAATCATGGATGTCCCTGGAAAATAGGGACACTTGGAGGGTCTGGACTATTGGAGTTATGTGATATAGAAATAGTTCAAATAAACAAAATATTAGGAAAACAGTAAGCCGGAGCAGTGGCGTAGCGTGGGTTGTCAGCACCCGGGGCAAGGCAAGTAATTTGCGCCCCCTAACCCGTGGATTTGCGCCCCCTAACCCGTGGATTTGCCCTAACCCCAGATGTTGCGCCCAGTGCGGCTGGCCCCCCCTGCACCCCCCACGCTACGCCACTGAGCCGGAGGTAGGGAGGTTTTTTCACCTAAGGGCCAGATTCCCTCGTGTGCAACCTTTTTTTCAAAATCTGCTGTTACTGGGTGCCTAATAAATGAAAGAAAGAAATAAGATGGTGGTTGGTCCAAGGTCACCAAACAATCTTCAGAGTTGAAGCAGGGAATTTGAACTGCATCTAATTCCACTCCTGATCTGTTACCCAGCTTGGTCCCCCCTGTTTTAGTTATTAGAAAATCAAAGCAAAAAAACAACAGCTCACTTCTGAATAATAGAAGACTTGAGAGGCATGCATATGATTTTTCTCTTTCTCTTGTAAAAGTCTTTCTATTTCCTTGCAGAAGGTAGACGGGTAGAAATGAAGAAAGGTGTTTTTAAATGAAATTTAAAATCTTCTTTTAAATAATCTATTTCTTGAAGTATGTACCCAGTTGGGCTGCAGCAGCATTGTTATAACTTCCTGGCTTAGCAATTTATTCTGGGTACTTTCTTCCCACAAACTATAAATCATTTAAAGACTCTTTTCATTGCATAGCTTGTTCTGGGAGCTGTGTGCTTTATTGATTTCAGTGAAGAGAATTACTAAAGGGAGACGAGACATTTGCCATTTCCATCTGGGCTGTGTGTGTTTTAAAAAAATTGGGTGGAGGGAAAGGAGGGGGGAACCTCCCCACACCCTTTTGCCCTGTAACCAAAGTTTAAGGGAAGAAAACATCATCTCACCTTGGAAAGCACTTGTGGCTTTTCCATCACTTGCCTGCTGGAAAGGGATGATCCACAAATCCCATCCTACAAGGCAATTATTTAGAGTGGTCAATCCTATCCATTGATTCAGTAGTGGGGGGGGGGTGTCAAGGATCCTGTTCTGGATGCTGTTGGAACCAACAACTGCTGAACTTTGGTTATATTTTTAAGGTCACAGAGCATTCAGAAATGAAAGAAGACCAACCAAGCTTGACAAAAAGGTACTGCTGTGGTTGGGACGGTTTAAAAAAGAAGAAGACATCCCACACCTCTTGTCGTAAGTAGCCACAGGGGTTCACTAGTTATTTATTACAATATCCTTAAAAGGAAAGGGCCCAGGGGTCAAGTGCAGCCTTCATGGCTTCTTTATATGACCCTAGCATGATTATTAAGCTGCTTACTTCCCCCCCCCAAAAAAACACCATACCATGCCAAATTTAGAATACATCAGAATTTTTTTTACAAAAGAAACATCGTTAACTAAAAGTGCTCATTCCACAGTAAAAGGACACTGCACACCGTTTTCTCAGGTGCCCCACTGAGAAGCCTGCAAGCAAGTCCTGAGGGCACTTGCAGCATCCTCCCCACTTGGGATCCCCAGCTCCTGGGATTCAGAGGCATCCTGCCAGATTTGTGAAACAAGAGGTGGCAGCAAGACCAGAGAAATGAGAGTTAAGACCCTGTCACATTTTGTTGCATCATTCCACCCATCTGCTGTCTCAGAAGCAACTTCCTGTCTCCAAGCAGAGAGAACTAAATCCTGACTCCTCTCTCTCTCTCTCTCTCTCTCTCTCTCTCTCTCTCTCGCTTGCTCTTCATAATAACGCCTGCGCAGCCATTAATTACCTTGTCACCCAAAATACATTTAATGGCAAGTGTGTACTTTCTCTAGAAGAGCTTCACCGGGGCTGTGTGTGATACAGGAAGTTCAGTGTGTGGGCGTCGATCATTGTCTCGGTCCAAAAATAAACCAAACCAAGTTGGAAGCATTCGTTTATCCATAACCGCTTCCACTTGCTTTTGAGAGAAATTTTGCAAAGCAAATTACTGTAGCACTCAGCTGCTTCCATGACAAGGTACACAGAGGATCTCTGCAGCATTTTTATCATGGTTCATCTGTATGGTGCTTGATAGTAACACACAAATGTTGGAGAGTGGGGGAAAGCCAAAATAAATTTGCTCTTGCCTCCTTCCAAAAGATTATTCATATATTTATTTATTTATAGTAATAAAAAATGTATATTGCTATTCATAAAAAAAAACAGTGCTTTACACCAAGAAAACATGAGATCATATTGCAAAAAGCACAGGAGAAAAAAAAAACCCAGAGATCAATTAACTATTGTGGTAGCTCCAATATCCTAGAATCATATATACCTGCAGCTGTGCCAGAAGAGGGGAGGGGGAGGGGAGTGCAGTTTGGGGGGCCTGATTTCAAAACTTGTTGCCCGAAAATTGATACGTGACAACATGTGGTATTTTGTACTTGGTGGCATAGTATCTAGGGTGGTGTTGTGCTGTGTTGTGCTAATTGAAGAGAGGATATACTTTAGATCACGGGTGGCTCTCACCCTTCACCAGACATGATGAGCTCCAGGTCCTACCATCCCTGACCGTTGGCCATGTTGGTTGGAGCTGATGGAGTCCCTAAACAACCAGGAGGTTCCACCTGGAGCCTAGAGTAGTCAATGACACTACAATGCCATTGTTTTCTGGTTTTCCAGAGTTGAAGTCCTCAAGGCTGCTCAGAGCCAGCTGAGGATCCGAATCTGCTACATCATGATTGCATTGACTCTGCTAGGATGCATGGCCATGATCATCTCTGGTAAAATGGTAAAGGAATTGACTTCATTTGTTTCTCAGACCAAGGAATACAACCCAACGTGCTTTAAACACATACACAGAGAGAGGGGTTCACATACGTTTGTGAAGATTCTCGCTTCTACACAGTGGCGGAGCTTCATGCTCTGGCACTGGGGGGGGGGGCAAAGAGCAGGCGTGGCGTGGCTGGTGCTCTGCCCAGGGGCATGGTGCACCGCCCACAGGGGTGTGGTGCACCGCCCACAGGGGTGTGGCACCCAGCGTAGGGGGAGGCAACCACAATGGAACCCCACTGGGATCGTGCTGCTGGGGGTGGTGCGCTCCATCCGCCGCCCCCTCTTCCTCCACCAGTGCTTCTACATGCCTTGCTGTTTGTGTCTACTTGAGAGGGGCTTCCCTGCGAGGGATCACACCTGTATAGGGCTACCGCCAGAGATGGACAGATCTGTCCATTCTGATTTCTCTTGGAGTAGAGCCACGCCTAAGATTCAAAGCACATTTAATGTACATTTAAAGTACGGCACATGACTTGCCACAAAGATTCGTGGGAACAGCAGTTTGTTAAGGATCCTGTGAATTGTAGCTCTGTAAAGGCTAAACTACAGTTCCCAGGATTCTTGGAAAGAAGTCATAGGCTTTCAACAAGCATTGGACATGTTTTTAATATATGTCTGGATCTGCCCAAGTTTCTCATGTTTCTAATTTGAAATTGAGTTCTCTATATTTCTCCCAAAGTCCTTAAGAAAATTTTCTTTTTCAAACACTGACAAGTGATGCCTGCACTTGGGGGCTGCTCAAGAAACAGTCAGCTGTGTGGGGTCCTTGTGATCTTTACCCTGGATCTCTGCTGTAGGGAATGTTACCAACCAGATGTTCTTATTTTTGAAGGCTGTCAAAAGAGAAGACACGCTGCTGAAGATAAATGCAGAGAAGAAAGCTAAGTGGAGAGCGGAAGGACAGGTGGAAAAGGAAGCAATGGCTGGAAAATCTGAGCAACCATGAAAGGGATAATCCCAAAGGATGACCAGTGGTCCATACAGAGAGCGCCATCAAGCAGATGCTCCTCTAAGACTTGGGTCTCTACTCTATACCTGATAGGAAAACAATCATTTCCTTTTTATTGTAACTGTAGACAGCCTAATGGAATCCAGAGGGGAACCAGTCTCAAGACGTCAGTATTTAATTCTGCCCATAGACTGTGACCATTTAAAATACTTCCATCTTTCAGACCTGAGTTGGACAGTGGAGAACGTTTGGACTCAGCTGAGCATTTCTGATTAGAGGACAACCATCACCTGTGACCAAATCTCTCTCTGTACACCAGCTTTTCTGAACCTGGTGCCATCCAGAGGCTGCTGGATTGCAGTGCTGGACACAATTGGCTGGGGCTGGTGGAAGCTGGAAATCCAAACCATTGAGGAAGGCTGGCCTTTGCCAAACTGTTATATCCCCAACCCAACCCACAATCAAAATAGTTAATAAAATTCATTTGTGTGAATAAAATGATATTTATATACAAGAAGTGGAACAGGGGAATCTTGTTGGAACAATTTAAATGGGGTCCCTGGATCAATTACCCTGTAAGCTTGAGGCAGGAGAACTTGTTTAACTCAGAGGCCCCGCTCCCCTCTTACATAGCCTTCCAGGGTCCACTTACAAGTGGTGGGTGGGGCTACATACAATAGTGGGTGGAGCAATGGATGTGACTCATGCTGTTTCAAGTAAAAAACAGAGATATAAGAAGTTTAGAAAAAGACCACACGTTTGGTAAGTTAAAAATAGTCTACTTTCAAGCTCTCTAAAGGTCAGATTCATGTGCTTTGCATACATCATTCAGGAAAAGTTGCACAGGCAGTAAAACTTGACTTAGTTGCACTGGGGAAATTTCTTAAATCATTGGTACAGTATAGGAACTAAATGGCATTGAGCTTCCCTGGTAGACTGAGGGTAGAACAACAGGCTTGATTACCCATTTCCTCCTAAGTTAAGGGAAAGTGACCTCACTAAGCCTGGCAGGACAGCTTACCTTATGTTATTAACCCCTTCATGCATTAATAGACTTAAGCATGTTGGTTGTATGAAGCTGGTTATTGCAGAAACCCCTTCTCTGGAAAATATAACAATTGCATGCACAAGTAATGAACCACCCAGAGTCCCATCTTGACTCAAAGATTCTCAAAACTGTCTCTTGGTAGTGGCTTGGTCAGAATATTGGCTGTCTTTTCTTTGGCTTGACAATATGCAAAATCAACGAGTCCATCTTTTATCACCTCACACATAGTGGTATTTCACCCCAATGTAATCATAGAGTTGGAAGGGACACTGAGGATTGTCCAATTCAACCCCTTGTAATGCGGGTGGTGCTGTGGGTAAAAGCCTCAGCGCCTAGGGCTTGCCGATCGAAAGGTCAGCGGTTCGAATCCCCGCGGTGGGGTGCGCTCCCGTTGTTCGGTCCCAGCGCCTGCCAACCTAGCAGTTCGAAAGCACCCCCGGGTGCAAGTAGATAAGTAGGGACCGCTTACTAGCGGAAGGTAAACGGCGTTTCCGTGTGCTGTGCTAGCTCGCCAGAGCAGCGATGTCACGCTGGCCACGTGACCCGGAAGTGTCTGTGGACAGCGCTGGCTCCCGGCCTATAGAGTGAGATGAGCGCACAACCCTAGAGTCTGTCAAGACTGGCCCGTACGGGCAGGGGTACCTTTACCTTTTACTAATGCAGGAATATGCAGCTGTCCCTTACAGAGATCGAACCTGCAACCTTGGTGTTATTTGTGCTTTTATCTTGTGAACCACCCTGAGATCTTATGGTGAAGGGCAGTATATTATTAACAACAACAACAACAACAACAACAACAACAACGGCAGGAAACCAAAACAGGAGTGATCCTGCTAGGCGGTGAAAAAGGATGCACAGCAACATATTGTTGTGGGTCTCATTTGTTTCAACAAATAGACACCTAACCATCTTCAGGAGCAGTGTTCAAACTAACGAGCAGGAGGAAGATGAGAAGAATGTTTTTGCAGTGATTTGTATGGCATGGATGCCTGAAAATAGAGCAGTGATGGTGAAGAACCACTGTCCCTGGAGCCTAGTTAGGCCCACCAGGCCTCTCCTTCTGCCTGTCCATCACCTGACATCACCTGACATTAAGCACAGGACAAGTATAGCTGCAACTGAGCGCACCACCAAATTGAATCCATGGGTGTAAATAGGAACATCCTTTTGCAGCCATGGCTTTTCCTATGGTGCAATTGGAATCTGGCCCATTGCCCCGTTGCACTGCTGTGGGGAGGGATCTGAGCTCCTGGTCATTTCCAAGCATGTCCTGTCTCTTTGGCACACTTCTGATTCCTTTGTAGGCTTAGGCTTTGTCTTTTCCTGCTTGGGATGCCTGGAGATTGATTGGTGGGTGACTCTGTCCACCTACCAAAGTGTCCCACTGAAGATTGGCCATTTTGGGGAGGGGGGAGAGAGAGAGAGAAATATACACCCATCCTGGTTTCTAAAGGGATTCTCTAATGTTAAAAAAAACACAAGAATGTTACAACAGGCGTTGTGCCTTTGATTCCAAAGTGGTGTGTCTAAGTGGATATTATTCGGGGCGGTGATAATCAGTGTTAAGTCATTATCCAAGCTGTTTAATTTGATGTTGCTCTATAAATGAATCGGCGTTTATTTGCATGCATATTTTGGTGAGAGGGAGATTAAAGGGAAAAAAGAGTTCCAGCAACAACATAATGATGTTATGATGACACTAACTGGGGGGGGGGGATGCAGCTGCCATTCAAAGCTTAACTGCTCAGTCATTTAAAAATAAACACTTTATAATACAGTTTAAGGGGGGAAAGGGCAACAAATAAAATGTACAAAATCTGTCTAGCTGAAGTCATCAATCCCCAAAAAGGCTTGGATGAGCAATAGCAGGAGATAATTTCCTACAAGGGATGAGTCATCATCATCTACCTCACTGAAAGAGTCTTGTACCCCTTACGCAGATTTCAGTGGCACAGAATGTGGGACCTTCCAGATGTCAATGGACAACTCCCATCATCCCTGACCAATGGCCATGTTTGCTGGGGGTGATGGGAGATGGAGTTCCAACAATGTCGAGGACACCACATTGGATACTACAATCATACCTCTTGTTACGTTTGCTTCAGGTTACATCTTTTCAGGTTGCGTCCTGCAGCGACCCAGAAGTACTGGAAAGGGTTACTTCTGGGTTTCGCCGCTCGCACATGTGCAGATGCGCAAAATGACGTCACGTGCATGTGCAGAGGAGGCGAATCGCGACCCACACGTGTGCAGACACGAGTTGTGTTCCTTTCAGGTTGCAAACGGGGCTCCGGAATAGATCCTGTTCGCAACCAGAGGTACCACTGCACTGCTATATGTGAACAGGCCATCTGTGCAGTTGTCAATTCATCATCATTCTTTTTTGTTTTGTTATTGTGCCTTTAGTAACAGCAAAGCGATCAGCATGCTGCTAAGTGTTGCACAGAGAAGCACTGCTTAATGCACAGGTGCAGGGGCTGATTTGGAAGCTGGCAACCCAAGGCACAAGCAGAACACAAATGGACCCACAGTGTCTATCTTAGTATCAGGGTATGCCCAGCACTGCCTGGGAATTTGTAGAAATGAAAAGGCGTGGATTATTATTATTTTTTTAATGAATAGTGCAATTTGTGAGTTTGGTCCTGTCATGACAAAAATTGGGTAAAGTCACTCCAAAGGCATATTTTGGTCCCACCATCTTCATTCAAAATGGTGCCTGGCATCCAAACATCAATGAAGATGGCTGTCCCCACTACAGGAACCCTTTTGCCAGGTCTAGCAATGATATCACAAGAGACAGCTCCAAATGAGAAAATGAGCAAAGTCATGTTTTGGTCTGCCATCTTGAATCAAAATGGCAGCCAGCATCCAAACATTGATGAACCCCCCCTCATGACAAGTTTTGTGACAAGATAAAGGGCAGCTGAAACCATGGAAAAATAACAGTCAAACCACTTTCAAATTTATATAGGAGATTCTTGGGAGGCTGGCATTCTCTGCAGCACAAGGAAGATCCCATTTCCTCTGAGCTCAAAATGTGCTTACTTTTGTATTTCTCTTGGATGAGTTGTTTCCCACTGCAATTTGTGACATGAAACCAGAGACTTTGTTTCAGTGGTGGTATCTGTTCCACAAGAGCTGCTTCTCATTCATAATTTATTGCTCCCTAAGCTTTTGGGCTTTTATGTTACAAGCAGTTCCTTTCCCAAAGATGGGTGAGAAAACTCACCTTCTTTCCTTTTTTACAGCAAAAGGAAAAGCAAGAGAAGAAAATTGTGCAAATGAGGCAAAGTGGCAATTCAGGTACACACATTGTCGCTTTCCTAGGAGTTTGTTCACCTCAGCATCAGAAAGCCTCAGTGTGACTCAGGAAGCACGCAGTGTTTAGGCCATGTTCAGCAGGGTCCTCTTCCTTAATAAGGTAAGCTCGTAGCTGAAGGACACAGAGAGGAATAACATTTTTTAGGCCCAGCTTCTGGGGCCAGACATGAGAGAACTCCATTCTGAAGCCCGGTTTACCAAACTTGAGCACAAAATCCAGCTGCCAGTTTGGATTTTGTCAGGTCTGGTTGTGCGTAAGTTTCTTCAGTCATCATCACTCCCCGTAATGCTGAGCTCAGGTGGAGGCTCTAGGAAGCACTGCAGTGTGCAGACATAAAACAACTGTGGCATTGCATCCTTGTTTCTGATGAGAATAGCTTGTCAGGTGGGGTGGTTTGGTGGGCCAGGCAGGTGTGCGTGGGGGGGGGGGGGCTGAGGAAGAATTGCAGCCTTCTGCAATGGTGCCTACAGAAGCAAGCTCACTCTTGGCAGAAGAAGCAACTTCTGCGCAAAAGGTAATTTGGCTGCTGTGATTTTCATGTATCTCAATTAGTATCATTGACTCATTACATTGCTATTAGCCTACAGGTTACCAGATTTTTTTCAATGAATCTGGGGACACTTATTGTTCGCTACATACATGTGAATGCTGAGAAAGCTGTAAATCCGGGGACTGTCCCCAGGAAATTGGGACATCTGGTAACCTTACTTTAGCCCTTT